TACACGCAAGCCTTTACTAATTTCAAATAAAAACTATCACCAACTTTATTTTAACACATCCCCACAACCTAACCTACATGTATGCGAATATTTCAATAAAAGACTCACCCTGACACTAGCTGCATCAGAGTTCCCACGTATACGTTCACGAATTGTTGAAATTTCCGTTTTAGTCGCAGCAATTTCAATTACTAGTCTGTTGTATTCTGATCGTTGCTTTGATGTCATGAGATCCGTCGGCGTATCCATCCTTCCACTTCCACCTTCAGGGTCGTTATTCTCAAAATTCATCGTGATATATAAAACCATGATCGTGCCTAACTCTGTTAAGCCAACAAAAACCTTATATGTCTGTTTAAAAACAAGCTTACAATCTTGACGGCGTCCATGAGACGAGCTAAATCATTTTCTGCTTGCTCCAGTACCGGGATGCGACTGAGAAGTGTGCGCATCTCTGAGAGCGCCTCATTCGGAAGTGGCTTACTGAGAAGTGAAACATCAATTAACCCTGCAATTATTTTATTTCAACAATATAAAAGTATGGTCTCATCTCCATTATCCTGACGCCTTAATCTACAGTAAACCAGTTTATAATTACCTTTAGCAACAGCTTGACGTAGCTGTTCAACAATTTGTTGCGTCGAAGCAGGCATAGCTGCATTACTCGCACCATCTGCCGGCATCCAACCACTCTCTAGAGATGAAGGCTGATGTTCAGAAAGAATTTCCCAAAGAGTCGGAATAGTCGTTGATTTCGCAGTCCCTGAAGCCGAACGATTACCCCATCCTAAACAAATAGTTTTAAATTAAGATAATTCAAACTCAATTACAACCTAAAATGCCTGAGAAGTCAATTTTCAATCGCCAAATTCTCGGGATGCTAAACGACACAATACATTTTCTAATGCACCCAGAAAAGATTGTGCCAAACCAAAAAGGTTCACTACAACATAAGTAATCAGAAATGTGCAAACCTGAAGATGGGGCCGTGACGGTACTTGCTTGCGCGCTTTTAGTAGGCCACGATGGAAGAGAAATTGCCGAAGATGGTGGAACGTTATTACTGGACGATTTTGAGGGAAGATCACCCCAACCAAGAGGAACAACTACACGACCGCCTGATATAAAATATAATTCTTTATATGAAGTGGAATAATCAATTAAGATAAAAGAAACAATCCAATTAGTACTGAAATAAAGGAATGAAATAAGCAAATTTACCGTTTTCACTTTCTGAGTTGTCATATTCTTTTCCGACCGGTATAATCCATCGTCTGATTTCTTCTGAAATAAATTTTGGATCAGATAAGAGAACATCTAGTTTCATTAATAAATTCATGAAGTACGACTCATATATTAAGTAAACGAGAAACAAACTCTGTTGTTTCTCAGGATCACCCCACGCAGCAGTACCAGTGTCGCGTTGCCACTTGCGTACTTCACCTTCAGGATCCTGCCAGACAGCATTCTCACCCATAAACTGTAAATTGAAGAAATGATCCTATTTAAAATCTAGAACATGACACAAGTCACAACAGAACATTCAGATAAAAAAGCATCATTTAAAGGAAAAAAAAAAAGATTAACCGAATCGGATTTAGAGACTTGTGAATAAGAATTGAAAGTGTTGGGAGGAGGTGGAGAACGATTCACAAAGTTCTGAGTAAATTGCGGCTTTGGTACAACAGGTACTGCCGTTACTGCAGCGCCATTACTGCCAGTTGAAGGATTCCATTGTGTCAATCCATTTGGCATCTAAAATGATGAAATCTTTGATAAAAACAATTTTTCTTTAAATTTTGTATTGATTTTTGTTCTAACGAATTTGAATTAAATTCAATAATGTATAGAAATTCGATGCTTCTAAAATACAGTATTACAAAACAACTTCCTAATTACAATCAATTACCAAGCCACATTTTGCAAAAGTCATAATCGTAATTCCCTGATTAGGAAGAGATTTGAAGAGAATAAAAAAAATCAAAGAAATCTTACACTATATTCGACGGTAGGTGGCGGGAGATACATTCCATTAACCGTGTTGTTTACAGCTGGTGTACCACCCCAAACATTTTGCAATCGACTTCTTTGAGGTGGTGGAATATTGGATGGTGGCACTGGTGGCTGTACTGATTCATTTATCGGACGCTGCACCCAATTTCCCATCACAGCATTACTTTCGAATGGTGGGCCACTGAATCGTGCTGGCAGAGGAAAAACATTACCACGCGGAGCATTTTGCTGCCAACCTAGATATGGCAGAAATAATTATTCTCATTTAATATGCGATGGATTTTTCCTGTTAAAATGGAAAAAAACCGTAACACAGAAAACATACCAATGTATAATTTTAAATACTTACTTGCAGCATAGGCAGGCGGTGGAGGTGCTGTTGGAAATACTGGAGGACGCTGAGTGCCACCCCAAACTTGCTCTTCATTTGGCCATATTTTATTCTGAGTTAAACCACCACAAAATGGCACTGCTGCTCGCACTGCCTGTGATTGAGTCATATCCCAGTTTCTCTGTTCTGTAATGTTCTCATAAAAATATCCGAGGAACAATGAGAACACTCCACTGACTTTAGCGGCAAATAAAAATTTTCAATCAGATGCAAACAAATGAAGTTCGACTATAAGTCTCAGAACGAAGTACTAACCAATTTCAGGTTGCGACCAACCATTTGTTACGCCACAACCGGCAAAAGACGGAGGAAAATGACTAGTTCCTACAATTAATACGGTGTCTTCCTCTAGTCATCTTTAAAACCAAACAAGTTGAAAAGGTAAGAACATTTGCTACAGTATTCCTGTCCAGATGTATCTAAACGATGATACCTGGGAATACAGCTACTACAATAGTTCATTATTTATTCCAATCCCAGGGAGAGAAATAATTGAACACATAATAAAGAAGAGAACTGCCATCGGGTCATCCTCTGTATTCCATCCACCATTTTATCATCAATATTTGGGAACACCAAATTTTGAAAAGGGAAGGATCAAACCTGATTTACTGCACAAAATCGGAAGTCAAAAACTATACTAAAACAAACCACTTAATGGTTCCTGTTCTAAGGGAAACTGGTTGAGAGGCGTTGCCTGCCAGATACCCAACGCTTCATTGATGTTCGCTTCTGAAAAATAGGCAGTAATATAAGAAATACGAGACCAATAAATAATGTCACCATTTTTAATCTTCCAATTTCATACTGCCTTCAAATAATGAAGAAATCAAAGTAATGAAATGATGTTTTACCTAATGATTTTGGCTCTTGCCAAACAACTTTTGCGTTACTATTACGAAAAGCTGGTGGTACGATTGATCGCATGTGCTCATCGAATGCTGCATTATTACTGTAATCACTAACACCACCCCAACGATTCTGTAAAAAACGCTTCTTCAAACAAATGTAGGCTTAGTGTCGCTATAAAGTGACTTCAATTAGCTACAAAAAGATAGCTGCCAGAAAAGATAGCGGCAGATTTAGTTTGTAACAAAGGCCAGATAAATCGCAAGAATTTCCGTTTTCCCTTTGAAATCACTTGCAATAATTACCTGCTGTTGTTCGATGCTCCATGAATTCAGCGAAGCTGTTTCAGCTTGTGTACTATCAACTGGAGCCCACATGAGGCCACTTCCTTTTTACTTCTCTGCGACCTCTCGTTAATAAATGTGGTTAGTTCCTATATATATATATATATGTATGTTTTATCTATGTTATCCATGCACACACAAAATCAAATCCACGTCGCGTCCACGGAATATTTTTTTTTTTCTTTAAACAGCGAGGTTACAAAAACAAACACAAAAACCTAAGGACCATTGTTAAATAAGTTATGCAATTCCAGAAATACAAGAATTTCTGCTCCCTACAGCAGATGTTTATGATATTTATGCAATGGTTGAGAAATCTTTCTTTTTCTCAGTGTCCCAACCTAAAGGATAAGCTGTGATAGCCATATCATCCTAACGATCAACCTAATAATGCGATAATGCGACTGAGGAAAAGCACATTTTATATCCTTTGAATTAGACAAAACAATTAGTTCAATTGATCATAAAAGTCACCAGCACTGTTAATAACGACAGAATGCTGCAGGCTCAATTACTTTACATTTCACATTATCCATAAAATTCTTGGTAGCAAGAGATTCAGAGAAGACCTTGCTAAAGACAGTAATGCATAACAGCAGAAAATTTGCTGTCATTACCCATCTTTTCAATGCCTTAGAAATTTGATTTACAGTCGTCGGTACGCAATTTCTGTTGTTTTAATAAATTTGTAACGCTAACAAGCTGCACACTATCATCACAGGGCTGAAAAATAAGAAAGGAATAAAATTTGATATTGGAAGCAGCATCCATTTGCAATGAGTGGCTTAGCGTCAAGAGTATTTCAACAGTAAAGCCAATGTGTAGAAAAAGCGATCTTTTTTAATCAAAAACAAGCCGTATTATAAATTTGTGGAAGAATTGTGCCAAGTTATGGCACTCAATTTTATTGATGATAAAAATTATTTGTTTTGTATAAATTATTCAGAGTGATCTTCAGAATGATTTGAAGGCCATATATGTATGCCACAGAGATATGTAAATGGATGCTTAAGCGTTACAGGTTAGGTGATTAGATGATAAAAATGTAATATATGTAGGAGAGTTCAGAATTTGTAAGTAGCATGGCATAAAACGATCTTTAGTGCTTATTACTTACTTTCACTTTGTATATATATTATACACACAGAGACAGCACGAAACATCAACATATACTTTCTTAAACACGTAAAACTAGCAGCAGCAATAATAACATCACAAATACAATACACTAGCAACAGTGCAATGTTGTGATAGTTACGGGGAACTGTATAATTCAAGTTTATGAATCCGAGATATTATACTGCCCTGCAACAACTGATCCTCCCGAGAGCTGCACTCAACAGTGAACAAGCAATAAATGCTTCTAACATGGACCATCCGATCATCTCAAATGGTAGTCTATGTGTTGGGATGAGAAGAAACGAATCGTACATTGGAAGAGATGGCCTAAGCATAAACAGAGAGAAGGGAGACAGGCATGCAGGAAACATGCCCCAGGATAGGCAAACAGCGACGGATCGCTCCTGCACACCGCAACACAGCACGCATCAACAAATATATCAGCAGCAGCAGCAGCAGCAGCACGAGAGAAAATTTGCCCTCACAGAGAAAAAAGAGAGGGAGGGAGAAAGAAAGAAGGAAAAAGAAATCGTGCGTGGTGCACATCAAGAAGTGTGTTGTGCTACTCCTACTACTGCTGCTGCTGCTGCTGCTGCTGCTGCTGCTATTAAACGTTCCACTCGTCAACACAATTCACAACTATCTGTCATTGTGCACCCTTTCTCTTTCCATCCCGCAACAGATTCCTCTCCCTAGTTTGGCCATTCCTCTTCCATCGCAGAGCAGTCCATCTATGCTCAACAGCAACATCTCTCTCCTATCAGTAGGACTTCTGGAAAGGAGCATCGTGTCATCCCTCCCCTTCACCCTCCTGAACTGAACAATTCCGCATAAAAGCTACTAACTAGTGAATAAGTCGTAATAATACCTGGAGTAGCACAGGGAGAGTGCGAGATGATGATGATGATGTACGCAGCTCTCATGAAGTCACTCGCAAATATGAGCGCTGCCGCCTCACGTCTCGTCTTCCGCGTCCACCGACGACCATTCAATCTTCGCGATTTACTTTCACGAATTCTGCCCTGCCTGTCGAACTTCTACTTGACAATAACACCACAAAATAAACATAACACTCTTCCTCTTTCTCTTCCCCCTCTTCCTCTCATTTGTACCCTTCAAAAATAAGCAGTTAAGACAAAAGAAAAGGAAATGTGCGAATTGTCGACATATGCTCGCTACTCTATGAAATGCATGAGACGATGGCTGTCTCGATCAAGTCATGCGTATGGACGGAAGTGAAACTCGACTGGCACAGCGCTCACTTCGCACCTGGCAACGCTCGCTTACTTCTCTATCTCATCCCCTTTTAACGTCAATTATTACAAAGCATTAAGATTCTTCATACAAATCGATCTTCTTCCTTCCCTCTTCTGGCCAAAAAACATTTCAGATCATCTCAATATAGAATAACTATCGCCTCGCTAAAAGCGTCCCTAAATACAAAAGCAGTCCAATCTGCCTAGAATAAAAAGGAAAGCATTCATAGGAGTTCTCTATAAGAGCTACAAGAATGAGCCGACAATCGAACCACAAAAAGCAGTCCGAAATTAAGAGCTAACAATAATAGTTTTTTTTTTCTTCACATAGCTATAGCAAGTAGTTAGTGAGAGAAATGCTTCCATTTTCACATATTTAACACTTAACATATATCCCAACCATTTTTAGCTAATTACATTTCAAAGATTGATGTGATTTAAAGATAAACACTTTCGCTGTGTCCTATTTACTAAATGTAGAAGGTATATAAATTCACATAAAAGGCTGCAATTTGAAGCATACTAAATTCCCCATATTAGACGTTAGAGTTAACATTAAAAAGACACACGATGAACCATTAAAACAGTTACAATCAAAAAACAATCATAAGAAGATTAGTCATATATTGTTAATGCTAACCACATTGCTAATCATCTCGAAATCCAAAATTTCGGTACCCATATCTTCATAATGCAAAAGAGTAACGTAAACCAACAGCGATGCAACGATTCCAATTTTTTAATCGCGAATTATGTAATATTCACATAGCTGAAAGATAAAACAACTGAGAACTGTGGAAAAAAAAAACAGAAGATACAAGTCGTAAGGATGAAGCACTAATAAATAACGGCAAATCCATCAAAATATATATGAACGCCCTGCCCTCTGTTATTTTTTCCCGCTCGATGAACTTTGCACATCAAAAATAACTAGCAATCGCATGACCTTTGGTCATTTTTCCAGCAAACATCAAAATACTTTTTTTATCCTATCAAAATCATTTCTATACTTTACGGCGCCAAAAAATTTTGAAAAAATAAGATTGAGGTTAAAGAAAAATGCTATGATTTAAAAAGGTCGATCTCAAATCACTTTCCCCATGCAACAGATGATGATGTCATTTAAGATTGAGGAACAGCTGTATTTTGTTATTGGATCTGATCTATCTTGGTATAACTTCTTGCCTTCTCCATTCATTATTTCATTCAAGTTCATCTATTCTTTTCATTCTCGCCCTCTTCAGCAATGAACCAATGTTGTTAAGGGAAGAGAAACGGACGGACGGATGGACGGACTGCAACAGCAGGTGCAATGATCAAGTTAGAGTGTGGCATATCACAAGGCAATCAACATCTCTGTCCATTTCTCCTCCTTCTGACCGGTTCGTCGATTAATGGTATCCATCGATCGATTCCCATTCATATTGACCCATATCTAAAATTGTTGTTAGCATGACCTATAATGATGATCATTATATTGTAGAAAAGATATTTTGCTCAATTAAGTACTTGTCATTATTACATATAGCTATCGATTGAAATATTACAATGAGTTCACGCTCGTCAAAAATACCGTCTCACTGAATTTGTGAATACCAACATCCATGACTATATGTTGAATTGAAGTAGGTGTCCCGACATTGCCTGGATGTTTACTCCAATACTATTTCAGAGACTGACATCCTCAGTGAACTGCGATGAAACAAATTAACGTGCTCCTGAACTACCGCTATTAAACGTAATAAAACAAAAAGGACGATGCTTTTGTAGACAATTTGCTATCATTTTGAAATATCCAATGAATTTAAGAGCCAGAATATACAATAACAAAAAGCTATCTATCATAATATATGGGATTTTATCGTCAAATTTTATTTGAAATTCAAGTTTGGTAGAAAAGAACAAATAATAAATTTGTGCCTTACAACATCGACATTTATTCCAATCTATACAGAGTACGTCAGAGACGTATACTTTTATGCAATTTCATAAAATAAACACAAGGTTGACCATTTGATATTATAAAACATGACAAGAATGCACTGTTTCAATGACAGTAACATTTGCGGAAACCCGTACACGTGAATCGGAGGTTAGTTTCATAAAATTTATGGAATTCTGCAAAATATCCAAAATTGAAAATTAAAAAAATACATGCGAAAGCGAAATTCACACCCACAAATGGATCAAATCAATACATTTAAACGATTCCCGTAGGAACTTGAATGCTCAACTCTCGTTTCATCAGCAATTAAAAAAAGATACTAAGACAGGTACAAACCTAATTATAATACAGAAGAATGTAGATAATGTCACAAATGGCCTGTAACAGACATGTCACGAAAGAATTCTACTGGTAAGAATTACAGAACTTGCCTCTCAGCAAAGAATCCATCAAAACAAACATGAATCAAAAGCTTAAAAAACTAAAAGATCTTTTGCTTTGAAATTTCAACTTTTTTCTGTAGTTGCCTGTAGTTGCCCAGCACATGATCCAGTAGTTCTAAAAGACTCATCAAGTGACAATAAAAGTATTGATGGAAAGAAACACAAGAAAAAAACATCACAGTTTAAAGAAAAACATTGATTACGACAACTTTTTCTAGCAGATACTTTAAGCTCGACGCAATCATTCTAGAATTTGTGAATATGTAGGGTTAGGAATGTTTTTAACGATTATTTCACATGGAGAAATTGATGAAGTGAATTACGCGTTGAAAAGATGTAACGGAATGAAATTAAAATAATGGGTAAAAATTTTTGAAGCCATACAGTTTATAAGAACAAAGTAAACGAACGAAGTACACTAAGACTTAATTCAGATTATAGTATGATCTGTGGTGAGGTATGAATCTGGCTACTGCAGTGCTATGCTTATGAAACGAAGAATATTTGTCAAAAAAGTATCTGGAAGTGATCACTGCAATAGCCCAAAATTATCCAAATTCTAGCAGTAACTTCAAAAATTTGAAGTAAAAACGAATGCTTTACAAGAGATTGAATTCATTACTCGCATTGCCGGTATTTCGTCCAATGTTCACAGTACTAAGAAAATTCATTTCCCTGACACATACGCACATCATATCCTATGAAATGAAAGATATAAAAAATTATCAAACAGTGACATCACTGTTGAGTTTTAAAACAGTTCATTTAATGATTCAAAAACCGAAACAAAACTCATTGGAAACTGCAACATATGTCAGTTCAAAGTAAAATTAGAATTTCGTACAATTAATTAATTCCTAGCGTCAGCATCACGATGTCTCCGTTCATATTCTTCATCATTTTCTGATGGACTTTCATCCTCCCTAGAAAAATAAATACTAGATAATATAAATTAATCTTGCATCTATGAAAACAAGACTTATTCCTGCAAAATGGAATCGTGAATCTAAAAGGAGGACTGAAACTGAGAATGTACATTATTCGTCCATTTTAGTAGCAATTAACTCTCAAGAAACAATTCTGAAACGAACCTATCCCTTTCATTTACAACGCCAAGCTCAACCACTTCCATTGGCATTTGTCGTTGTCGCACAACATCATCTACATCGTCATCTGAAATGAGAAAATAAAAGTGACATCAATAGTGTCATAAGTAATAAAACATTAGTCTACGAATTATCTTTACAAAGTTCCCGAAATTTACCATTTTCAGAATCCTCCAAATTCTGTTGGTCAATATGAGGTGCTATACCAACGTTTGGTACTTCTGCATTGTCGGCATTTGGCACAGAAGACCCTGCAGTTTGCTGAAGCGTTCCATCCAATGGATGAGACTCAGGCTGCGGCTCAAGAAAGTCCCAAATAAGTATCGTATCATCATGAGAAGAAGATACTATTTGAAATTCATCAAACTGAAGACGAAACACTCGGCCCGTGTGTTCCTGTAGATAAAATATACCATAGCTACAAAGATTTTCATAATTTTAATCAATGATTAGCCAATACTGTTGCTGAGACATAATGTGATCATATATCAAGCACAACTATCTATCTAGGTTCATATTTAAATTTCAATTTGTTTTAGTTTTCAGTGATAAATAAACTGGTTATTTCGCTCCATCCATGGGAATAAACACCGCATGTTTATTTGATTTAAGCATTGGAATAAATATTCACTGTGTTTCGAGATGTTTTACAGTAAGTTTTTATAATGCATAATGCAAATTCCCTTCTTTTTCTTTTGCGTACTTTCACTATTTTCATTTTAAACTACTTACCACTAAAGTTAATAAGCATATACTATCTGGAGGAGAACGCGGATTCATTGCTGCTTGAAGATCCCAAACCTTGATTCTTCTGAAAATAATCGAAATCGAAAAAAATCGTGCACTGCCAACAATTAAGCTGAAGTATAGAAGTAACGAAAGTTCGGACGTACCCATCATAAGCACCAGAAACAATACGTTTCGAATCGAATCGAATACAGCGAACAAGTTGTTCATGACCTTCCAAAACTCTTAAGCAAGCACCTATTTCAATATCCCATAATCTGAAATTGCTCACAAAATAATGCAACAAAAGTGTCATATATTTTCCTTAAATAATAAATCTCTGCTCCTTATTATGTTAAGCAAACCTGATAGTGTTATCACTTGAACCAGATACAACTAATCGGTCATGATACTGCAAGCACGCGATGCCTCGCCTATGACCGATCATGGTACGTACAAACTCACATGTATCAGTGCTCCAAACCTTAAAATAAAAAAAATATATAAACTACAAAGCTCAGCAAATAGAAATAACAAACTATTTTAAACTTGAAGAATTACGCTGTCGTTGTAAAAAAAAGTAATACA